AGGTGGGACTACAGGCGTACGCCACCATGCCCAGCTAATTTTTGTATTTTTAGTAGAGACGGGGTTTCACCATGTTGACCAGGATGGTCTCGATCTCTTGACCTTGTGATCCACCTGCCTTGGCCTCCCAAAGTGCTGGGATTATAGGCGTGAGCCACCGTGCCCGGCCCTAGTGGCATATTTCAGAATTAAACTAGGTTTACCTTTATTGCAGAATATAAAATGTTTACTATGGAAAAATAAAGAAAATATTTTGTTATGGTCACTTTTAACTGTGCAGTTAAGCAGCAGTACATATATCTGCAATCACCCCTATCCATCCCCAGAGCTTTTTCATCAGCCCCAAAAGAATGACTGCTTCAATTAGACAGTGGCTTTAGGGACTTTGGACCCTGGGGCCTTGGGGAAAATATTAGGGGTGTGTAGTCAGGAGAAAGTCCCCAAGTTGGTGTCTGCATGTCCTGCCCTCTTTCTATGACATCTCAGGACAGTAAAGGTGGGAACACATGATCCACTGAGACACAGCCTCTGGAATGTCCCCAGAGAAGAGGAATTCCAGCAGGATATGTCCTCTGAGACAGCTCTCACTTCTCCTGAAGGACTTGTGTACAGCTGGAGCCCACGTGTTTAGTTTCTTGGACTGGCCCCTACAACTGGCGAATGATCCTGGAAGGTAGAACTGGATTTCTATAGATTCAGTCAGGTCATAGATCCATTTGTAATATCTGTACATGGTGAAATCTACCAGAACAGAACAGCATGGCTGCAGGTGCACAAAATGCACCTTTGATGCAGAAATTGAGCCATCATGTTCTGTTCTAGTAGATTTCATCTGGTACAGAGATTACAAATGAAGCTATGACCTGACTGGATCTCTCTTTCCTTCAATGAGTAAGATCAGCAATGTGTTCATTAAGGTGAAATGGCCAACATTATATGTTCACATTGTATCCCCCAGCCTCATTAACTCTCCTTTCCCTGTCATAATATAGTCATGGGGGTTTTGACCATTTGGACACCCAGGAGACTTTGATAAGCTGAGCAAGGAGTGTCGGAGGGTGGGAGAGCTGGGGGAGGGATAGTAGGGGGTGTGAGGATTGGGGAGGGATAGCATTAGGAGAAATACCTAATGTAGATGTCGTGGTGATGGATGCAGCAAACAACCGTGGCACGTGTACACCTATGTAACAAACCTGCACAATCTGCACATGTACCACAGAACTTAAAGTATAATAATAAAAAAAAGAAAAAAAAGAAAAAAACATAAATTAGAACATACTGAACTTTTGTAAACATAAAAACACAACATATTAAAACTTAAAAAATGCAGCTAAGTCAGTGCTTTGAAGAAAAACTATGACATGAAATGCTTAGCATTGGAAAGAAGAAAGATCTAAATAATCTAAGCTCATAACTCTAAAAAAGTAGAGCATTCAAATTCTAAGCAAATAGAGGGTAATAATAGGGATCACAGCCAAATATCCATGAACTAGAAAGCAGGCAAACAATGGAAAACCTCAAAAAAAAAAAAAAAAAAAACCCAGCAACAACAACAACAAAAACTTGGCTCTTCAAAAAGATTAATAAAATTAATTGATTTTTATGTTTAGGTAAAGTGACCATGATAAAAAAAGAGAAAGAAGACACAAGTTGCCAAAAGCATGGCTAAAATAATGACATCACTACTGACCCTAAAAAGGTGAGAATGGTTACAGGGAATATTGCACACAAAAATGCCAATATTATAGATAAATGAATTTAATTTCTTGAAATACATGAATTATGAAAATTGACTCATGAATACCTAGAAAATCTGAATACGTTGATGACACTTAAAGATATTAAAGTAGCAATTTAAAATCTCCCTGTCAAGAAAAGCCCATCTAGTCCCAAATAGCTTCACTGGTATCACATTTTTATGGAAGAAAACATATGAATCTTACACAAATGCCTTTAAAACATAAATGATAGTATCTGCCTTTTAATTGTGGTATTTAGACCATTTATAGTTAATGTGATTAGAAATATAATTTGTTAAAATATATGATCTTGCTCTGTATTTTCTATTTGCCTTATGTGTTCCTTGTCCCTCTTTCCTTTTTCTCTTTTTTGAAATTTATTTTTAAACATTGTTTTTATTTATCGCCTGTCTTTATCCCCTGGTTCATTTTAAGTGTCAGATTGAGTAAGATATGGTACCATG